ACTCTGAATAAAGCGATCCTATTTCAAATCTCGGTGGAACCTTACGTTTTGCAATAGATGGTATTGAAACCTATCACAATATATACATCTCGAATTCAGAACTGGTAAGAGTTGGAAAAGACGGAATTTTTTTTAAAAGAAAAGAAAAATTTTGATGATAAAAACATTAATTTTTTATGTATATAAAAGTAACAAGGGCCTTTTGAGGCAGACGAAATTTTTTAAATGAGGCTAATAAATTTTAAAATTTCTGTTGAATAGTTTGTTTTCATTCGTTTAAGTGTTTAATGTTCTTTTCAGGCATATTTCAAAAAGTTAATATAAAAATTCAATCCCAATTTACATTATGCTCTATCGAATTGCGCACAAAGTGTTTCAATAGTCACGAAGGATTATAACGCCTGTAGCGGCTTCTGAAAACATTTAATATCCCGTTACAGGTTCAAAAACAGGAAAACTATTTAAGAATTCTTACACAAACAATGATGTACCCATATATAAAATTCCTTATGAACGCCGATCCTCGGTAGTGCAGTAGACAGCGCGTCAGTCTCATAATCCACAACTTGGAGAAATATGAAGGTCGTGAGTTCGATCCTCACCCGGGGCATTCAGTTTTGATTTTTGGAACCGTCTTAGATTGAAAGCGTCTGTCTCGAGCTTAAATGCTTATGATCTCGAAATTTTCATTTCAATTTTGATTTGATGCAATGGATTGCTTTTACTCTTTAAAAAATTCAAAGTTGTTTACATTTCGAGAAAGATGATGTAAAATATATATTTGTGTGTTTCGGTAAACATGGATTCAGAACTAGAAAACTGACTAAAAATACTTCAAATGTTCAATCAAAACTTACATAAATAAATACAGGCGTTGTACTTTTAGGAAAAGCAGGATGTGTTTCAAGGGAGTCCCATGTGGTCTAGTGGTTAGGATTCCTGGCTCTCACTCAGACGGTCCGAGTTCATTTGCCGGAATGGGAAGTTTGGGTTCCATGGTGTAATGGTTAGCACTCTTGACTTTGAATCCAGCGATCTGAGTTCAAATTCATCGTATTTTTTTCCTAAAAGCTAACGCTTTAAAATATGTTTTTCTACAGTTTTGCGCTTGATTTACCTTTATATATATAAATTTTAATTTTAATCGGCGCTAATTTTGCATTAAGGATTTTTGTTTAACTTTTATATATTTAGTCACCATATTTTTATATTGTGGGTAATAATCTCTCACAGATCAGTTATAAATTCCTTTCACTGCTAAAGAATATTAAATCCTTACAACTACTTTTGGTACTTGGTTGATACCAAGGTCTAGTTTTGGACTAGTACTGCGTATATAATGAGTGTTTGGTACGGCTCTAGCAATATTCTATTATATTGCTTAATATAGTACATAGTATATTATTTATATTCTTGACAGAAGGTTAGTGATTAGGTTAAATGTTCACAATTGGTTCATTATTCTGTGATAGGAGGAATGATAGGGCCAGAATTGCCGGTGAAAAATCAAAGAAGTCATTAATGTTGTATTTAGTTCGTAATGGGTTCTATAGCGAACCGCGAAGTGCTGTGTTTGGGTTTATTTCGTTAGGCAATAAAGACTAAAAGCTAGCGAACAAAACTGTTTATTCTAACAGTAACAATGAAAAGGGGACTACACACACTGACGACGCGAGACCTGAAATTAATGTGGGCAAGATACATTTCACGAGGCCCTCTGATGACGTAAAAAGAGGGTTTATAAAATTAAAAAAAAATTATAAAGGGGGAAAAAACTTTTAGCTGATATTTCTTCGAAACATTAATCAATAATAATAAAATTAAAGAAACAGAAATTTACTACTTTTAGTTTTGCTGAAATCCTTAATGATTGGGTTCGTAATTTATCTTAGATGCTATGTCTGCTTCAATAGATAAAACTACCAAAGTTGAAAGTTTTTCGTGATCCATTGTATTTAATACATAATTTTTTTTTATCAGTTTTGATTTTAAAAAGCTCCTCTCAATGGAAGAGGTACTTACAGGTAATATAAACAAAATTCGAATGACAATGTAAATATTTGGGAAAATATCTTTCAAATCGTTCTTCATGACATATTGGAGCAGATGTTTCAAGTCTGTAATGGTGTTGGGTATATTTGGAATCATATTTTGTAATTTGTAAGGTTGGAAGTCACTGATCTCACCTTCTTGCAGAACAAAGTGAAAATCTTGACAGTTTTTCAGCATTTGCTCTATTGGAATATTTTTTAACTTGTTTAAGTCAGAAAACTCAAAATTTTCAAAATGTTGATTTAAAGACATAAAACTTGAATCCATATTTCTTCTCACAGAATCAGTCATACTTATACTTTCATGCGCCAATATACTTTCTTGTACCGATTAGCAGACAATTTTTTTTTTAAAAAAAACGTCGATATATTAATTTTTTGATATTTTATGGCGAAAAACTGATAGAGTCGAGAATTTTATAATTTATGAATTATAGAAACCCTGTGGCATGCATTTTTGGATTTTCCTTAGTTTTCGTTTAATTTATTTCTGCTTTGAAGCACGAGGCCCTCTGCACCGCAAGGCTATGGACTGCAGCCCACGCCTTACGCTGCCTCTCTGCCTACACAATGCTAAGTTAAACATTAAAACGCGCATCGTTGCCAAGTGGCTAAAGTTTGTCTTTTTTGTATTCGTTCACGTCGTTTCCTTTTGTCTGGCTCGTTCGGTCTGCTCTCTCTCTATCTCTGTCCGTCCGTTCTCGGTCTATGGGGGTCGCCTCTCTGTGTAGCGCGCTCAGTCACGGGGACGGCAGTACTGCCTTCCCATGAGCCCTTCACATTAATTTTCTATAAAATAACACCATCAGCTTTGAGAACTAATATCAATGATTTGCAAAAATATTTCAAAGAGCAAAAAAAAAAAAAAAAAAAAGAAGTTGTGTAAGGTAAATTGGGGGAAGTAGCACGTTCAATGATTTTTCGATTTTAGTACATTGAAAATTAAAATAAGACCATGAAAAAAATACACTTTTTTCCAATATTTAATTGGTTATGTATACAAGTTAGTTTTATCTTATATTAGTACGAAAACAATTAGGAAATTTAATGTTAAAGAAATTCATTTGATTGTGGCATGTTTCCCTATATATGTGGGAAAGATGCCACCAGTTATGGGGCAAGATACAACGAATTTTCCTGCAGAATGGTAAACAGCAGGCTGAAATATTTGTCCACTTCAGACCTGCACTTTCCTAATTCTAGTCCTATGGAGATCCCCTGTGCCTTCTTCACAGCATAATGATTAACTACCTTTATATTTTATACGATAATATACACTTTTATAAAATGAAAAAAAAAAAAAAATTAAAGTTCATTTTATTTATTTCTGAGCCATGTGATATCTTTCCCCAAGTGTAGAGGAAAGATACCACACACGCTTATTTCCTTATTGCTGCAGTGTTACGGCCGCTTCTACATGCATCGTATGCGTAACA